CCCGTAAGCACGGTCAGTCTCTTTCGTTGAAAGTACACACATCGCCCCATCTCCCCGTATTCATTTGTGTCTGAAATGACGAGGAAAGTCACACAGCAGATGTGTCCTGTGATCGCCAGCTGTCTTTGATCGTATAGCCGTGTTCCCATAAAAGGCCAAGTAGGCAATCGGTAAAAAGCTTGTATACAGGTGGGCACCGCTCTTCTACGCCTGTTGTCATGTGTGTGCACCGCCGCTCAATAAAAATCATTGAGCTGCCATGGTTTGTATGTACATACGTATATTTTATCGACTTGTGCATCAGCAGTGCTACCTCGGGTGGGGCCAACAGGCCGGTGTGTCAGCTAGTTATTGGATAATGAAAAAGGCGAGATCGAGTGGGTTTATAATAAAAGGTCGGTGTGACTCCTAGCAACCTGCAGCCTCAAGTTTATGCTTTCACTTTAGACCGTTATTGTTAGTTGATGCAAGAAACAGCTCTCCTTCCGGCACTGCACGGCAGGTCAAAAAGTCGTGCATATATATATACCGGATCCTGAAAGTACAGCCGAGTAACGCGTGCAGTCTCTTCGAGTTGCGTTTTATTCCGCATTTGTTATATTTCTGTGTTTGCCTGTACGTTAATGTATGTGTCATGAATCCTGCCGTCATTTGATGTTTAATAAATTTGTCGACTCTTTGGGTGAATGCACCCGTCCACTTTAATTTTTTTTACTTCCTGAAATAAACTCCCAGAAATCAACTCAAAGACCTTGTGAAGGCCGTAAAAATTTACTCTGTCTATACTATCTGGAAACCTCAGTGGAGTAAATAATTATTACCTTTCATACGTACAAAAAATCAGTTAGCACGAGAGTAAATTTTTTCTCCGATTGGGGTTCTAAAGAAACGCAGAAAAAGTAGTGCACTAGGGGACAAGTGGCTTACCTAGTTTTCAAGGTTATTTCAGGTTATTTTTGTTTAGTGTTTATGTAGGACCAAAGCACTTTCCCAACAGATAGGAGCTGCTGAATCTACGCTACCTCATTTCTTGCCGAAGTGCAGAGGGTGGTGGTGTCCACTGAACAACCGAGTATCAACGATGCTTTGCATAATCCTGTGCGTGCTACAGAAAACTGCGCGAACTAGAATTCACGTATGAACTGAACGACACTTCAACATAATTTGTGCCGAGCCTGACTGGCGGATTTGCCGCAGTAGTAGGGCACTAGCGAGTGGCTCGCTGTCGCAGCTGCACATTGACCGAATGTTTAACGTAGCGATAGTTTGCAACATATTATGCCATCATCATTACTTGCATTGTAAGCATCATGCAGCTGCTTCTTCATCAGAACACAAGCACATAACTTCCCATTAAGCAGCACCATAGTGTCACAGCCATGATCAGACTATAGTGCCACAGCCATGATCAGACTAACAGCGCATTATTCCCTGCACTTGGATGTCTTGGATGTTGCAGCTTTCGTCAGCGCAATTGAAACAAGGATATCGAAACGTTTTCGAAACGTCAAAATTGTGAAAATTCGTTGAACAACGTCATTCGGACGGCACCGCCGAAGTGCAGGAGAAGTTAGCGTGGACTGTAGTCATAACTGCATATTTCATTCCTCCAACCATTTCACTTCGTTGGTCTAGCTCGAGCGTGTTATAGCACCACCGAACAAGGGAGCATTGGGAGTGTCTGCCTACTGATCATCCTCGAGAAGACGCTCCTAAATTCTGCACGGAGGCGCGACAGTCTAATAATGATTGATATGTTGGGTTTAACGTCCCAAAACCACCATATGATTACGAGAGACGCCGTAGTGGAGGGCTGCGGAAGTTTCGACCATCTGGGGTTCTTTAACGTGCACCCGAATCTTAGCCCACGGGCCTACAACATTTCTGCCTCTATCGGAAATGCAGCCGCCGCAGCCGGGATTTGATCCCGCGACCTGCGGGTCAGCAGCCGAGTACCTTAGCCACTGGACCACCGCGGCGGTGCCGGCGCGACAGTCTATGAACATTGCGAATACATTATGTACCGCTGGCGTTCTTCAGAGCTCAGCAAGAAAGGTGGTCGTGCCAAAAAAAGTGGATCAGCCATGTTATATTTATTTATTTTTTACGTGAATGCGCTAGCATCAACCAGCGAGTTAAAAGCACGAAGCACAGCGGCCCAATGAACGAGAATACTCGCATACGCTCGATGAGCAGTCTTTGATAAGATGTCCCGTTACTGTCATCCTTTATTTCTTTCCGAACGCTGCCACGGTGTTCTATAACAATAAATGTCACCGGAATGGAGAAGCAATGAATGCGATAGCAAGAAACTAAGGCTGGCAGCCAACTCTTTTATGTCTGATATCGCGTAACTGTACAAAACGCTGGTGTAAAAGAATATAGGTAGATACGCTCTTCTCGCAGTCTTCACGTTGAGAGCTCAGCACGTATAAAAGTTCACAAGCTATTCCTGCTGATGCCTGCTATGATCGCACCCATAGCGATCGCAACCACACCTTTAGAATTAAAATTCACGGCTACTCCTGAAGCATTCACACCTTGTATGAAACCGAAACTATAACCGTTTTGATAAAACCAAAAAGACTGTTTCGGCCACGTTTACGGGCACGGCGCTTGATGGGTTTTGCACTTTGCGGATTAATTCTGGTGCTGCGGCGCAGTACGGCGCTGATAGGCGAGTTGGGCGCAGCAGGGGTGGTTGGGCGCAGGATGGCGCAGGTAAGCAAGTTTGGTGCACAATGGCGCAAATGGCATAGCTGTTCCACCCCTGAAATTTCATTTAAGTCGGCACAGCAGTTTTCACAAAAGTATTGCAGTTTCTTGCACGCACTCGCATACAGAAATCCGGAGCTAGCCTCGAGTTGAAGAAAGCATTGTCGCAGCACCTGCACACCATAGTCGGCGAGAAGTTTTGAAAATACCGCCACAAATTTGCCTTAAAATGCTCCGCCGCGGTGGTCTAGTGGCTAAGGTACTCGGCTGCTGACCCGCAGGTCGCGGGATCGAATCCCAACTGCGGCGGCTGCATTTCCGATGGAGGCGGAAATGTTGTAGGCCCGTGTGCTCAGATTTGGAGGCACGTTAAGGAACACCAGGTGGTCGAAATTTCCGGAGCCCTCCACTACGGCGTCTCTCATTATATTAAGGTGGTTTTGGGGCATTAAACTCCAGATATCAATCAACTTGCCTTGAAATGTACATTACTGCAGATTGGGCGAGTTGGTGCACAACAATATTGTATTACTATAGCGCAGCTCAATTCGACCACGAAGATGTAAAAAACCAAGATTTCTTTTGGTAGTTTCATGGCTACAAATTTTAAGACATGAGCACGCACTCCATTGTTTGACGAGTGTGTCATCTTGGGCCGCAGTCATAACTAGTTCACAGGTGAAATTACGGAGGCGAATTTTTTTCAGAAATGTGTGAAGCTGTGTGTGAGTAGGCCATCTGTTGCCTTATCTGAAAAAGGGCTCAATTTTCCAGGGCGTGTGCAGTGAAGTGCTGACGTAGAATTGTTAATTTTATATTGGCTTAAATCTAGTTTCTGCTCACGTGTGCTGTGCCGCGTGCTTAGCTGTTGCTCTTGTCTTTGTCATGTGTGCAGCGCCATGTGCACTGCAAGCGGATCCACATAATGTGCGGTAGGGTGTTAAGGGCTCGAAGGTTGATGGCAGGTAGGGCGGGTATCTTTAGTGTAGCAGGCTGTCCACCGTCGTCCGCATACCTGATCTTCGCTAGTGAGGAGACACGTTAATAGAGAAAGAACGAAGGTTTATTTACATGATAGTTGAAAGATGGAACTGTACAGAGATTCAGCTATGTACAAAGATTCAGCTCATGATTCAGCCCATGATTCCGCCCTTATTTACAAAACGTCTTCGCCTTTTATAGCCCATCATCTCCTTACACGGAGGCCCGAAGAACGCGGTGACCACTCTTGCCGCAAATCTGGTGACGAAGTCTCAGTGGTTCACCCACCAGAAAGGGTGCAGATATTGCACCACTCAGCTGGGCTAAAAGGTCCAATGGTAGCACGAGCGCACCACACAATGACGCACCCGGCCCACACCTTGAGGGCACCGCAGGGCGAAGAGGTAGAGTTCGGAGAGGGAAAGTACGAACGTCAGCAGCGGTCCATGGCTGCTTTCAGCTGCAGACTTCCATAACTCTCTCAAACATGGCAGTCAAAACTCTCAATCCTTGGGAACAGCTTTTTCGACATATTCCCATGCTTCCCAACTGACGGTACTTTTGTGACGATTTCAGGTCGGCGATGACAGCCGAGTCGAGAGGTTGACTCCACGAGAACTTTCAGGGTGGCGCCGTCCCCCGCTGTTCGAATCCGTTCAACAAAAGAGTTGTCTCGCGAAGCTTTCGTTGTGACCCGACCACTACCTGGAACACCTACAGGATTGCGCCTTACAGACTGGGCGCCGATGGGGTTGAAAGCATCCTAGCAGACCGGCTTATGCACAGTGGCGTCTGCCCAGACGAATCGCCGGGCCAAACGTAACAAGGGTCATGCAATAAACAAGAGTTGGAAGTTTAGAGCTCATCCTGCTGTCTGTCTGCCACTTCTTCACACTTTTATCTTTCCTACATGCTAAAATCGAGCTGCGCTTCAGCAATACGATATTATTGCTCTAAAAGGAAACATTACCACAGATGGGCTCATACGAGCAGTTGATCAGTCTCCCAGTAAGATTTCACAGATTCCCCTGTACGCGTGTGGACATACTGAGAGAAGCAAACTTCGTATCCACAACTGCGGATAGTGGTGGCTCACGATATACGCGACTGCAACGTACTCGCCGTTGCTCACCCACAGGAGGCAACTCCTGTCGTGAAGACAACCACCATACAGGGACACGAGAGGGCTCAGAAGCTTCATTTCGATTCTCGATTGGTCACTGAATTTGCCCTCTTACCAAGGCTTTCCACTCTAGCGCGACGGTAAGCACCTCCGTGAAAAGGCGTGATTGTGACGTGCCTACCTTAATTGCGAGCAGAGACTTGGCCTGCTCTTTTATCAGGAAGAAAATGGGGCCCGGAACGCCCGATGCGAGGCTTCTAGCTGCTGAGCCACATCCGGCCTCGCCGGCTTCTTCTGGGCCATCCATGATGCCTCCTTCAGAATGCTGCATGAAAAAAAAAGACAACTAAATATTTTAAGGGGGCTATGAACATTTCTTTGTCTCTTTTTTTTTCGCTTTTACTGTTCAAACAATAGGAACCTATTGTTTGAGCGGCTCAAATGCTCAAACACAGTAACGTAAATCAACAACTTCAGAACACTGCCCGAAACGGTTCAGCGAGTGGTTTTAAAAGCAAATGTTTTATGCAAGATGGAATATATTACCCTACACACTGTAGTGAAAATACACAACAGCCAAACCATGAATAACACGCGCGACAAGTAGCTTCTCGATGGAAAAAGCACAAAAGTAGAACGGCCCCCATTTCGAGCGAATAATTATCCCTCATATTTACTGAATTCTTTCTTTCTTTCTTTCTTTATTTCTTTCTTTCTTTCTTTCTTTGACCACGTCGAGGTATGGCGATTCTATACTGCTGAGAAGCTCACTCTTGTCACACGCATGATAGTAGTGGAAGTACGAATAAAATTTTGAAATAACTTTTAATGGGCGAAAAAAAAATGCGTAAAACTAAAAACGAAACCTATCCGAGCAGTAAATACTTCGCGCGACGAATTACGGTGTACAACAGCATACAACTGGTGAGTGCATAAATACATGCAGCACCAATGCATTATCACTTCCCCTCATTCACACAGGACACAAACTCTGGCAACAGCAGCATTTGGCAGAGCCCACTAAGACACGAAAATCGTACTCCTTACGGAGACATCACACACAATGTGACCAATAACTTTAGGAGGCCGTAGCCGTCCCTGCACTTCGCGGGGCGACAGGGCATTGGGGACCCTGGGACCGTCCAGTAAATGTACTAATTAACGTACTACGTAAGCAAGGCTTGCATACGGAGCCGAAGATAAGGTAATGAGTTTTCCTCGCACCAGTGTTCCCATGCGAAAGTCACATGGTGGTCGCACGGTAACAGTGACGCCATCTCTCGTAACGGCTGAAGGACCCCTACACTGCACCGCAGCCCTTCATGCAGGACATCAAAACATGCAGCTGCTACAGCCATGTAAGAAAAGGCAGAACAAAACTAAAACACCCCGTTTACTAAGGTGAAAACTTTCCAAAAAGCTTCTGCATAGATTAGGGATAAAGGCTGAAGTAAACAGACAAACAAAAAAATAGTTTCCTACCTATTTTCTGCCATTCGACTACCCAACACTAAGTGATGTTCCATGCAGAGAATTTACCCATTTTCGAGAAATTTTCGCTTGTCATTTTGAGCCAAAGCGAAAAAAAGAAAATCTTCACGATATTGCAGGTCATTTCAGGAATGGTAAATTCTTTTATGACGACCGATATTTAGCGGTCACAGTGCGTCTTCATCTGCTGTATTCGGTACTGGCGCATGCACCACACAAGTATACCCTTTGAGATTTCCTTGATATTTACGTGGAAGAATTTCTAGTTCACTATTGGTGTTAGACTTGCAGTCCACATCGTGCAGTGTACTAACAGTACATGAATTAATAAAGTCATGTTTTTGTTGTGCGGCAGTGTAGGGGCTAGTCCCAATTTATAATGTCGCCAGTACATGAGACACGTGTAAATATAATATGTGTGTGCGTGGATGTAGGCGGATCTTGCTACTGTTGTGTAGGGAGATATGCTAGGAATTTTGTCAACATTTGCAAGAAAAAATCCCCAAAACAGGGAATTTTCATGTCTCTGAATAGAAATCTTTCGCCGTAGTACGAAACAACATTACCAACACTAAGTACCAACTGGCATCTTCATGCCACTCATGAACAGTCAATTTGCGCAACACTGGCAGCGCTACCCGACGTTTTCTCTTTACATATATCTGCTCGATAATGGCAAGCGAGCTTCTCTACATAGCAGCAGGGTCGTGCGGCAAAGTGTTCACTGGGACTGTTTAGCAGACATTGAATAGTTAAAAGAAAGGTAACAATTAAGAACTTCAAGACAACGAAACTAGTTGGGCAATAACTAAAAAAAGGTTACGCATTTCTTTCCCGTTACCTTGCTCCCCGCTTTTTTGAACACGTAGAGCCGCCGCCACGTCTGTGTAGAGCACTCGAGCAGCTGGTTTTTGCTTTGCGGGCCGAAACCTTGAGGCAGTTTCGGGCTCTCAAGTGGTGTATCAGGAGCATGTGCGGCCTAGTTGTCAGGCTGAACACGTCAGAGCCTGACACAGCATGCACTACACCGACGTGGCTGCGGCTGTGCTATACGAATAGAGTAAATAGAACCATCCGGCCTGACTTTTCCTGTGCATCTTTTGTAGCCCTTTCCATGCATCTACGAATGATTGCCTTCCAATGATTTCTGCGGCCGTGTAATTTTTTTTTTTTTTGAAGACAACTGCAGCAACAATGAAAACTCGAAATGCACGCAGGAGAGAAAAAGATGTGTTTAACGTACGAACAAATTGTCCACAACAATAATCGGTACGCGATGGTCGAGGGTCTAGATCTCCTTAAAAAAGCAGTCCTTCGCTGTCGCTGGGGCTCGAAAAACTAAGGGAAACCTACGCGTGCAGTTGATTTCTCTGGCATGAATGTCCGGAATGTTTATCGCATCGAATCGTAGCATAGCAATTTCATTCATCAGGTGATTGGATAGGACGATGAAATAAACCATGAACGCATCGTGTGATGATGGCGTCACGCGGGACGTGATACGTGATGTTTCATGTGTTCATGTCATCAGCATTTTACGCTATGACATGATGATGCAACGTTCACATGACCATGCGTGTGACGTTAAACAAGGCATAGTCATTCAGCCACACGGGTGTTGCAATTATCCCAAACTAACACCCGTTTTTTTTCTTTATTTCGTGAACCCCAAACACGAACCCGATGCAGGCTAGTTCCAACGCGAAAGCGATGAACTATACCGAGACGGTGATTGACGTCGCGTCGCTCATCACCCGCAAATCAAACACCATGTCAGTGGTAGCTCGAGCAATGTATGGAGCGATGTTCCTCCGTTATTAATGGCATGAGTACAGATGTGTACCAAAACTGCCTTGATGCGTGCAATAATAAGAAGTTATTGTTAACTACGTGTTTCGCAGCACATATAAAGCTAGTTGAACACGCTTGAATCCCACGTACTAATGTGTCCTTGTCAGTGAAACCTGACACAAGCTACGGTTGCAGTTCAAGCAACGTGACGAAACCACAGCGCAATAATCTGCGTGGCCTGTTGCAGTTAGTGAACGTCACTGCTCCCTTACTGGCATTATGCATTGCAATTTACCACCGCGCGCATAAAACGACTGCCCACGCGCTCTGGCACGACCTGCTTGTGCAGCCAAACAGCGATTTCCGAGGTCTAGCGGCAATACTCACCACTGCAGGAAACCACGTCTTGGTTTGCGGTATTTTGGCGCAATACATTGGGCCCAGAATGGAAAACCTGTACGATTATTCAACCGCGCAAACGGTCTACACAAGCCGGCAAAGTGTGTGTTCTCGTATGCATGCAAAATCACGACCATTCGATGAAAAGGCTTATATGTGTTACGCGTCGCTATCGACTACGGCGCTATGCGATGGCACGCTCTCGACGGCCGCCACACAGGAGAGAACGACGATGGAATAAACAGTGATGTCTCCATTTGCTGTTGTTTTCCTCTGCACATAGCTCCTACCCAAAGGAAGGGATTGGCCGATGATAAGGTGAATTTATGCTGTGACAGCTATTATGTACGATGTAACATATTTTCGCGACGAAGATTCACCAGCCCATGTTCTACCGGCTTGAACCTCCTCGGTGCCTCCGTTTGTTTCCTGCCATGTTCTCCGATGAGTACTTTGCGGCTACAACCTTTGTTCCCGTCATCACCTGGACACCCAGAAATCCTATGGCAGCAATGGATCCGGGCTTTCAAAAACTACACGATTGCTTCGGATGCCTACGACCTACCTTCCATTCGTCGGAAGGCGATCCTGTTCAACTGCTAAGGCTTGAAACGACGGCGTGCGCGGCGAACAACTTCAAGCTGCGCACGACATCAAGAAGAAGACGCTTCGCTGCAGCACATAGAGCGGGAGCAATGGCGTAGCAGAAGCGAGCAACCGGTAGGTACATCGATGTACCATTAGCAAGTAGATGGATGTGCTTGCGGAGGACGAGCGACGATTTCAAGATTTCGAAAACCAATCGATCAGGCGAAAATGACACGATCAATGGCGCGAAGGCCCGTTTAGCCAGTAGTCAATTACGCATCTAAGTTAGCGTACTATCTGAGATAACATCCCTTCACACACACACCCCAAACCCCCCTGTACACCTCTCTTTGGCATGGTCGAAATGGCGTTTTTTTTTTATTTAAGGACCCAGCGCTCCCCAAGTTGTCGCACACCGCGGTCGAGGGCTCATGGCTAAAGCGACGACAATGGCGTCGTGAGCGGGCCAACTCCAGGGCCGCTTCCAAATCCTCGCTCCGGTAGGCACCGCGTTGGCTCATCGTCATCCGGGGGCCACAGACTACGGGAAGGTATATTGCTTGCTCACGCGCTTCCGTGCTCCTCTGCAAATGGTGCCTACCCTCTACAGTGGACCGGAAGCCGGCGGTGAACGTAGAGTGGAAAATTTGGAAAAGAAGACGGGGCGGGAATGCCAACGCTCGCACAAGGTAGAGTAATTGATTGATATGTGGGGTTTAACGTCCCAAAACCACTCTATGATTATGAGAGACGCCGTAGTGGAGGGCTCCGGAAATTTAGACCACCTGGGGTTCTTTAACGTGCACCCAAATCTGAGCACACGGGCCTACAACATTTCCGCCTCCATCGGAAATGCAGCCGCCGCAGCCGGGATTCGAATCCGCGCCCTGCGGGTCAGCAGCCGAGTACCTTAGCCACTAGACCACCGCGGCGGGGCGCACAAGGTAGAGTAGATGCTTGAATTTGTGGCACACACCCACACCGAGGAATTGGCCAACAATAGGGTAGTTTTAAAGGAAATATTTCTTCAAGTATAAACCCCAATTTCTCAATTAA